AAGGGAAGTTTATTAAGACATTAAGTAAGTTGGGGGGAAAAGCAACAACAATAAAACATTTTTATTCAAAGCTGTCTCAGGGCCCCTCCCTGCAGTGGGCCCTGGGTAAACGGTACCCTTTTCCCCCCCAGTCCGACGCCCCTGTGTGCCCCTATTCTAATATGGCATTTTATGTCCACTTTGATATGTCAGAAACCATTTGTTTATTCTCATGAAAACAGCAGCATTCTATTTTTCTGTGAATAAATTTGCTCTGCAGTTAAATACAGCATTCATTGCTGTTTTTTTCTAACTGGAGAGCGCATTGTCAGAGCGGCAGATTAAATTTACAAAGGCTATATTAATTGGGGGTGTTTATTTAATCTGCCGCTCTGGAAATGCGCTCTGCAGTTAGAAAATTAGAATGCTGCTTTTTTTTCTAATTGCACAAGAGCGCATTTTCAGAGCAGATTAAATTTACAAACGCATTAATATAGTGTTCGTAAATTTCATCTGCTCGAAAAATACGCTCTGTTAGAAAAAAAAGCTGCATTAAATGATTTTTTTTTAAACTGCAGAACGCTTCCCACAGATAATTAGAATGCTGAGCATTCTATCACGCTAAAACATTATGAAAAGTAAAAAAAAAAAAGTCGGGCTCGGGCCGGGCCAGAGAATCCTGAAAACCTTTTTGGACCACCCCCTCGGGCCGGGCCGGACACGGGCTCAGATTTTAGGCCCGTGCAGGGCTCTATTTAGCATTAATGTTTATATTAAGTAATACATTACTTAGCAGATACCCCTCCCAGCCCTTTGTCCCAGCTTTAAGGACACTAGGTACCAATAATGGGAACATTGATAAAGGGATCCTTTGTTTAGAAATGCTTAGTACTACGTAACATCAATAAAGGGACCCTTATTGTAAAGTGTTACCATGTTTATTTATTTTTCTGGTATTATTTAGAAGTAAAAAGTTAGAGAATGAAATACAAAATACTACACTGTATTCCTGAATTAATTCCATTATTTGCTTCCACCCTCAGCTCCACCTCTTTTACCAGTTTTGGATTGTCTGGGTGTGACGAGACATGAGGCGGGGCCAAAATGGCGGTAGTGGGAAATGCATTTTTTGACTCAAAAATGAAAAATTAGAGAAATGGGCAGTTCTGCATCCAGTATCTAAACCTATGGTCCCACACCTTTAAATGTAATCAATACAATTTTGTTAATGTAATAAATACTTTGGACACAATTGTTTAACAGAAAATATATAAAACATTTATGTTACAAAAGATTTATTTAAATTTTCTTATTTACAAAATAGTGCAAGACAACATTCTTCAGTACAAGTAAACTGAAAAAAAAACTTTTATTTTGTTTGTTTGGTCAAATGTCAGATTTATTGGAATTTTTAGATCAAAAATCCATCTGTGTGTGGTTGCAAAACAGCTGAGAAAGGTCTCAAAGACCTTCAGCGTTACGGCTGAACACACATGAAGGTGTGAGAAAGGTTAAACGGCCATTAAGGGCTGAAATCCAAAGGGGTCACTCAACCGGATGGACTGAGTAATGAGATCGCTGTGAAGAGGCTCACTCTGAAGTCATGAGCAGCCGAGGAAAAATAAAGCGTCTGCAGAAAGAATAAGGCTGAAATGCCGAAACATGTGCATGCATCAGGTGGAGAGAAGACACGAGAAAATCTGCTTCTCTGTGTGGATGGGATGTCCTTGGAGGATGAATTGTAGTTTGAAAAATAAATTTCGGCTCACAGAACTTTTTCTGACTTAAAACAAAAAAATCTCCACGTATTATGCAGATTGTGCAGCCCTTAGACCCCTTGTGAAGAAAAACATAAATGGTAACTGTGTTCCCTCGCCCGAACGCGGGTCAACAACACCCCCTCTGGAGTCAGGCCTGGAGTTTGGGCACGATGGCAAGCGCCTGGTGGCCGGAGTTTCACCCAGGGAGCCTGGCCGGGCACGGCCCGAAGAGAAGACACTAGTGGGAGGTGCCAAAGGGGCTGGTTGCAATGTGTGCTGGGTGGTAGCCGAAGAAAGGGACCTTAGCCATCTGATCCTTGGCTACAAAAGCTAGCTCTTGGTATATGGAATGCCACCTCTCTGGTGGGGATAGAGCCGGAGTGTGTGTGTGTGTGTGTATATATATATATATATATATATATATATATATATATATATATATATATATATGTGTATATATATATATATATATATATATATATATATATATATATATATATATATATATATATATATATATATATGTGTATATATAGATGTATATATATATATATATATATATATATATATATATATATATATATATATATATATGTATATATATATATATATATATATATATATATATATATATATATATATGTATATATAGATGTATATATAGATGTATATATATTATGGACAGGATTTCTAGGTGCAGCCAAGGTGTTGAGGGATTCTGTTTTGGTACCCTAAGGATCAGGTCTCTGCTTTTTGCAGGGGAAAGAGAAGTCAGGGCTTCTCGACTTAGGCTGCTGCCCCCGCGACCCGATTCCGGATAAGCGACGGAAAATGGATGGGCAAATAATACAGATAAATGGATCCAAATGAAACATTCTCAACTTTATCTCACACTTGCTCCAACAAGAAACAAATTTAACATACATACCTTCTTATTTAAGAAAAATCCTACAGACTTTTTTGTGATTCGTCATGTCAGTGAGCAGAAGGGGAAATGGTTAAAAATCTGGTGAAGCTTTTTCTGTTTGCTGTTATTTACCTGATGTGTGGAAATAGCAGCTTACAGGGTGAAGTCAGAGTGATTTCAGTTTCTTTCTGAGAAACCTGATGTGTTCAGGAAAATTCAGCAGCCTCAGACTGTTCTGCTCCAGACTGAGGAATGCACAAAGTGCACTTGACAAAAAAATCCTTCATGCACTTTTAAATAGGTCTTGCTGATTGATGAAGTTAGAATAGAAAATTTTCTTTAACTGCAGTGATTCAAAACGTTCCAAACCATACCATACTGCATACTTTGCTGTCATGCAGCCAATAGCTCTTTAACAATCAGTTTGATGGGGTACAATTATTTTTCACAGGTAAAACTGTGTTACATGAAAAATTTAACAAGATCTACAAAGATTAATTTAAGGAGTCAAGTCCTGGACTGAATGAGAATAATCAGCTTAAATCTATAAGAATGATTTACCAACACTCTGTTACTGGACTTCCATCCATCCATCCATCCATCCATCCATCCATCCATCCATCCACCTACCCATCCATCCATCTGCCCATCCATCCGCCTACCCATCTGTCCATCATCCATTCATCCATCCGCCTACCCCTCCATCCATCCATCCATCCGTCCGTCCATCCATCCGCCTACCCATCTGTCCGTCCATCCATCCATCCATCCATCCATCCATCCATCCATCCATCCATCCACCTACCCCTCTGTCCATCCATCCATCCATCCGCCTACCCCTCCATCCATCCATCCATCCATCCATCCACCCCTCCATCCATCCATCCATCCATCCATCCATCCATCCATCCATCCGCCTACCCCTCTGTCCATCCATCCATCCATCCATTCACCTACCCCTCTGTCCATCCATCCGCCTACCCATCTGTCCATCCATCCATCCGTCCGTCCATCCATCCATCCATCCATCCATCCATCCATCCATCCATCCGCCTACCCATTCCATTCTTATTAAGCAAATCAGCAAAACTCATCAAGAGTAAACAAATTTTGTTTCTGTATTTGTAAAACAAATAAATATCTATTAGCTAAATTGGCAAATGAGTTGATCACCTTTAACACCAGGTTATCATTTTATTTTTATAAAAAGTAAAAACCTTGAAAGGTCTCTTTCATCCATGGACGAACACAAATGGACTGTGGAGAAAACAAGTCAAGGTGAGTTTGAGATTAGACCAAAGACTTCGTCCCAGTCAGAGTCTTATAGATTAGAGATTATATTTCTTTTGCATGTTTCCTTAAATAAAGGTTAGATTAAGAAAACTCTGGTCTGACAAAGCTGCTCTATTTTTGAATCCCAACCTAAAAAGACACAAAGGAGGACTAAAAGTGCTGAGAAGATACTCGTTAATCCTGACATACACATGAATCATGGACTAAAGATGCTGCTCCTACCAACAACAAACGGTTTTATCATACAATATTGATTTCAAATTAAAACTGTGTGCACTGATTGGACCAGTGGGTTAATTACTCATTGGAGAGCTTCAAATATGACAAAGTGTGGCCCATAAAGGCTATGAAACATAAAAGAAACTCCACTGAGACCAATAAGAACTTCCAAACGCTCTGGGATCAATGGTATTGAAAGGCTCTCATAAATCAATAAGATAAGAATGTAGAAACCATGTAGAAACAGTTTATTTTTGCAATCAACAAAATAATTAACATGTTTAGTCGAGCGGAGCTGTGGGGACAGTAAAAGCATCTCCTCTGTTTCACGTCTGAACCAGACCAGGATAAACTATGCAGGTTTAGAACCAAGTGGACTTGTGGGTGGACAGGGATGCGTTTGTGTCTAGCTCACTTTGCAGAGCAGATCTCTTAGCTTCAGCGTGAAGAGTGTTTCTCTGCCCACTGCTGAATGCGGCGCTTCCCCACCCCTCCCGTACCCTCCCTCCCCCTCTTCGATTCTTGTTATGCTGCACATGGGTGACACAGGACTGAACTAGTGCACGCTGCTCTACGTGCTCCAGCTGCATCTGCTTGTGAGCCTACAGGGAACTGTGTGTGTGTGTGTGAAGCTTTCATGTGTGCTACTCTGCCTGTATGCACCAGAAAATATGGAGGGGTGTGTGTGTAGGGGAGAGAGGGTGAGACCACGGGGGGACTGCAGGGGTCTGCACTCACCTAAGCCATTCACAGGGCTCAGCATCACACAGTTGATTCAGCACCTTGGTAATAGCGCACACATAAACTGCAGCGCAGATCAGAGGAGGAGTGCGGTTATGAGAGAGAGGGGAGGACATCTCTGCTGAGCAAATGTGTGCACAGCGCGTCTAGTGTGTGTTCAGGGGAGAAATAGAGTGTGGGAGCGGGGAGGGAGAGAAGGAGCGGACGTGTGTTGGTGGGAGCTGGGAGGAAGGATGGCTGCTCTTGTTTGAGCTGCCTCACATGTTCAGCAGGAGGCAAACATTTTTAGTAATAATAAAAATAATCATTAAAAAAGCAGCAGGGGCTCAGGAGCAGACTGAGGGACGCGTCTTGTTTATCATTTGTTGGGGAGCAGAAAAGACTTGGCAATGCCCGCTGAAGTGAAAGAGGTAAGTGTGTGTTGGAATGGCTCTGTTTTATTCGTTCCCTCCTCTTTTTCCTTTTTTCCTCCTCCTCATCAGTTGTTTGGTCTTCCTGCAGCACTCCACAGTGTTTGTTGCATTCTGCCTCTGTCATGATGATTTAAGGGGCATCAGTTGCTTCACTCCCATGCCTCTCGCTGCTGGCTGATGCGGTCCTCTTGTGCGTCTGATGACATGATGCTAACATCTTCACCGTGTGTGTGTGTGCACGTACGAATACGAATGCATAGGCTATATCGGATAAAAGCGGACAAGTTTGATTGCATTCTGAGGAGAAGGAGTTTCTCTCGCTCTGTGTGAGGAGGGCTGAGTCTGCACACTCTCTGCGTTGCCATGATGCTTCACCGAGACATTAAATTTGACCATGCAGCATTTTACAGCATCAGGCTCCAAGTCTAGTCAAAAATGGTGGAAAATAAGAACTTTTAAGAACAATTCCAGGTCTTTTTTCATACGTGACGTCAAATTTTAGCCTTTCCTCTGCAGCTTTAGGTTAAAGCATGACATCTGGGGTTTGCTTCCGCAGGAAATGAGTCTCTTTTAAAAGTGCATTTACAGTGCATGTGCCGTTTGCAGCCTCTGTTTAAAATGCATGAGCTACAGATTCAACAGATAGCTTAGACAAAGTTGTGACTAATGTTTTCTGACATCACTGGCTTGTTTGGTCATCCTGTGGAAGCAGCGCTGCTGCGTTTTGATAAAGCTTTATGTCACTGAAATCTTTACAGCATTAGACTACAAGGCTCCTAAAATAATACAGCACCTGCAGCTGTCCTGAATACTGAGAGGTGATGGGGATGAGGTACTAATCATGCCATCCTGTTCAGCCTGCATTTTTTGCTGTTATTTTTATTTTATGGAAGTCAAATACAGAGCTGTTGTCCTGACCTATTTGGCTCCAGGAGCACACTCAGTGATGGTGCAGAGAGTTATTTAAATAAGCCTTGACTCACAGTGGCCTGGCCTTCCCTGGAGCTTGAATCAGACAGCAGCAGCAGCACGGAGGTCCGTGTCCAGCCTGTTATCATTCTCCAAATCCTTAATCAAGCTGTCTGCAGAGGACAGCGGCACATCGTCTGTCTTCTGGCCAAGCGTTCATTTGGTGCTGCCTAACAATGTCCAGTCACCCTTAGCCCCTGAGGTGAGGAGCCAGGATCACCAACACCAGCTTCTCCCGGTGACACTTTCATGTCCTCTTCCCTCCAACATGGATATGAGATAGCTCTTGTGTTTGGTGAGGTGCTCAAAAATCTCCACATCCAGCCAGCTTCATTCAGACTTTAGTTGTTCTTTGGATGAAAGCTGCATAAAATGTTCCAATTTGCGCTGATTTAACAGATGAACAGCTTTTTCTTTTCCCTTGGCACATCCTTCAGCGATGAATTCAGTTCATGTGTTAAATGGATTTATATAAAAGACACAACTTTCAAATGATAAAAGGATTCAACAGAAGTTCTATTGTGGTTTTGTTATTGCTGTTAGAGAAAGGCTATTGCTCAACAGAGAAACAGTCATTTAATGACATCAATAAAGCAGTAGATCTTGTTTTTGTAGACTCTAAATGAACAATTAGTTTGTAAGATCTCAGCAACAAATGTGTTTATAGTCCAAAAAGGGCCTCTAGTTGTTGTTTTTGGTTTTGGTTTTAAGAAAATGCTGAATAATTAATCTTTTCTACCAAATAAAATGCTTCATGTTTCAAGAGAGAGGCGATGTCAAGTTCTGCATGAAATAAAGAAGAAAAAACATCCAGGTTCTACACAAATCTCCACTCATGACACGTTAAATCACAAAACAATGTAAATGTGTTTTGTCAGACATTTTCCGATAAAAGAACAACATGAAGATTCCAGCGTTGATGAGGAACGTTTTCATTTATCCCTTCTGTCAGACTCAAACACAAAAAGCCAGACAAATAAAACACGTGTCATGTTTTCACCATGTTGACCTACTAAACTTTACCTGAGAGACCTGAAGCAAAAATCTAACAAAATATTATCCCCCTGTGCTCACTGGAACAGACAAGCCACCTGAGCTCAAACAACAAAACCTGCAAAGTGTTTTTTTCATCCCCACTTTGTATTCAAACGCCTCTGAGTGAATGTTTCCTGTCAGTTTTTGCACACATCAGAAGGAGGAGGATGCTTTCACTGGAAATGATGAGTTCTAATTAGAGAAAGTTGGGTGATAACGAATGAATTTATCTTCATTTGTTTCAAAGAGGCAGGTTTTAATTCAGTTAAAAGAGAAACAGAGCACTTAAGTTAGAGGAATGATCTCTTGTGGATAAAATAAATGAACTCTCGCTCCAGTGGGCATGCAAACACAAAGCCAAAGGTGCATTTATGAATTCATACACATTAGGAGTAATTTCTAAACCCACTGATTTATCGTGTTCTCTCAAGCATCAATCTGAAATAATAGCTGCCATGGCAGCTATTATCTTTTAAAGTGATGCTTGTTTTACTGTTGTCTGATTAGAACGGAGCTTTAAGTAAAAACATTTTTTAGTGGAGATTATATTTTTCCCTTTGCCTTGTTTAATTCTAGGTTCCACAAAAATTCACACAGGTAGCTGGGAAGCAGCAACTTTTCAAGAAAAAACACTGCAGTCCCGCAGATCCAAATCGATAAAGTTTAAGATGATTAATTATGAAATAAGTCATGTAAAAGAAAATTCCTTCATTGTCCGATAATTGGGAGATTCAGGTGTACTAGCAGCAAGTTACAGGTAAACATCCATATATGCACATCCACACAAAGGTAAAAGAAAAATATAAAAACAGTAAAGTTAGAATTAAAGTTTGTTTCAAGGGTTAGGGTTACACTACAATACTGTGCAAATAATAGCAGGGATCTAAAGTTGTAGAGTCTGTTAGAAGCAGTGATGGTTAAAGACTTTGATAAAGTCTTACAGCTGCTGAGAGGAGGGATATCCAGCAACGCTCCCTCATGCATCAAGGATGTAGCAGTCTGTCAGTGAAGGAGCATGCAGCTTCATGCACTGGGTGCACTGCACTGTCCAAGAGTGACATTATCTTTTGTCTCCTAACTGAAAATTATGTGTGTGTGTGTGTGTGTGTGTGTGTGCGTATCCTGTCTGTCTGCTTGTCCGTAAGTAATTATGTTTTTATAGCACTTATCACAGAAAGAAAAATCACACAGTTCTTTTCAAAGATCAACAAAGCAAATCATAAAGTCATAAAATCATCCTAAAAATAATCCATCCATCCATCCATCCATTTTCTGAACCTGCTTTGTCCACACGGGGTCGCGGGATCCTAAAAATAAAACAACAAAATATCATAAAACAAATTAAAAATGAATAAAATCACAAAATGTCATCACGCTGTCAAAATTCGATGTTGTCTTGTGCATCATGGATTCAGTAAACTACACAACAGGATGAGTATCTGAAATTCTTCCTGTGACGGTCAATGAACTCCATCATTAAAGGATAGATGAAGAAAAAAAAGTTTCAAATGACAAATAAATAAATAAATAAATAAATAAATAAATAAATTTGTTCAAATTTTAAAAACATTTCACTTAATTACTAGCCTGGTGAGTCATCCTGTTCTAGACTACTAATACACCTCAATGTAAGTTATAAAAATGTCAAATTGTTGTGTTGATGTTGTGTTTTTATTTCAGTGTTCTTGTTCTTTGCTGCTAGACTGATTAGTTAAATTTTGTTTTTTCCGTAATATTCAGGAAAAATGTGTCATGTTTATGTTTGTTTATATTTTTGTATTTGGCAAATGCTTTTGTCCAGAACATCACAAAGCCGCTACCATTGAGGCTGGCAACAAACCATTGAGAGAGAAAAACACTTCAGATGCAGAGATGTTCCATTCTGGACTCTGTGGCCCAGGGCTATTCCATTCCAGGCCTGGAGGGCCGGTACCCAGCACGTTTTAGTTTGAACCCTTCTTCAACACACCTGATTTCAATCAGCAGGCGATTAGCAGGCTTCTCCCAACGCACTGGAAACAAGCACTTGGTCACCCAGCGTCAGTTTTCGAGGCTTTGGGAGTGAGAATGTGTTGGTGATTCAACAACTGAATCAGGTGTGTTGAAGCACAGAAACCACTAAAATGTGCTGAAAACCGGCCCTCCAGGACCAGAATTGAACACCCTTGCTGTAGGCTAACATCATGACTTTGATGTGGGCGACTATGGGTAGCTAGCTAGTGGAGCTAGACAAACAGAGGGGGTGACGATGAGTCGTTGTGGTCTGGACAATTTGCAGAGGTTTCACACGACTGGCTGGGAGGCCAGTTAGAAGAGCATTGCAGTAGCCAAGGCAGGAGATGACTAAAGACTGCACCAGGAACTGAATGACCGCCTCGGTCTTTTGCATGTTAAACAAAGCAGCCATGGAAGCAACATGATCTTTAAAGTTCAGCTGGTTATCAATCATGACCCAGTAAAGCTTAGGGGCAGCAGTAGCTCAGGGGGTAGAGCGGGTTGTCCAGTAATTGGAAGGTTGTAGGTTCGGTCCCAGCTCCTGCCAGAGAATGCTGCTGTTGTGCTCTTGGACAAGACGCAAAACCCACCTTGCCTGCTGGTGGTGGTCAAAGGGAATGGTGGTGCCAATGCTCAGCAGCTTTGCTTCCTCAGTGCTCCCCAGGGCAGCTGTGGCTACACTGTAGCACATTACCACCAGCGTGTGGAGGTGTGTATGAATGGGTGGATGACTGAATATCCTCTTTTAGAAAACAATGCCGCCAATCTTCCACAATGGCGAGCCAGCATCTTGGAGCTTTAGGTCATTTATAAGTGGTCAGACCGTGGCGGTAATGTGGTGCAATCATGTTCGTTTTACAAAAGATTACGCAATGGCGGTATATGCAGGAAATGGGGGCGGTCTCTGCGCGGCCACAGACTTCCATTTATCTTGGACATAACTTGCTTTTTATGGCAATCAAAGCCGCTCCTAAGGGTGTCTGTCTCAGGTGATTTTACCTCCAGCTCCAGAGAGAAGGTTCTGGAGCTCCGCATCACTCTAATTTATCATCTCAGCTGATTCTGTTTACAAAAATGAAACTTGTGCACATGTTTACTTTCATCTTAAATAGTTGCCAGCCGGAGCTTGGCAGTAACTCCCCACGTGATCATGACACCTCCCTCTGTTGCACCAAAGCATAATATGCATTCCCAAGTCCAGTGTTGTGGCAACATTACTACCAAGCTTGGCGGAACGAATGCAGCAAAATTCCCAACGCCATGCTGCCACGACGTGCTCATAAGACTCACTCTGGTGGCAGCATTACGCTGATTTACCACACTCACAAGCTCAGTGACATGCTAATGTACCTGCTAATGTGTGTGTGTGTGTGTGTGTGTGTGTTTAGGAACAGAGTTTGGAAGGACCCCCTCCTCTCTCTCTGTCCCAAGAGGTTAAAGAGGTGACCCACGAGAACCCCGCCTCCACCGATGAACTGGACACGCCCACTTCCACAGCCTCTGTGATGACCTCGACCAATGACAGCTCCACAGAGACGGACACCCCCCAGCAAACTGACTCTGAGGTCCGTTGTGCATTTGATTTCAACTTGTTTTTTAAATCGCCACAAAGCTAAGTGTGCTTTATTTAGTTTTCTTCTTTTTCACGTTTAAACGTTTTGGCTTAAAGACGAATCAGAGACAAACTCTTTTCCTACATTTAGCCACAAATGAGTTAAAATCCAAATCAATTTGCACCACCAAATTAAATTTCCTCCAATTTGTTCTGTTTCTAAAGAGTGGCTTGACCTCAAGTTGTTTCATCAGAGTCCAACACAAACTCATTCAATTCCTTTTCTGGCAGGGACAAAGAATGTATAATTTATAAGATGCTCATGAGGCCAAGGATGTCCCGAAATGTCAAAGATTAATATTTTGTATGAGCGCGGGGATGGGTGGTGGTAAGCACATGGTGCATGCTCCAAAAACCTGTTGGATCAATGTTCTGAGTAGATTAGGACCAAACACTTGATGCTCTGGATGTTGTGGTGTTTAAAGGGAGACAGGAAGCCTGTCGATCACTTAGACTAATTAGAGTTTAAAGACAAGCAGATTCTACTTTTGCTGAGCTAAATGCTGTGAATGAATCCCTGCAGGAGTCCAAGGCTGTGGAGCAGGACGGAGAAAAGCCTCCAGGTGAGACAAAGGAAACATCAGCGGTGCAGCAGGAGGACACCCTGACACCAAATCCAGCGGACCTTACATCAGCTCAGGAGACTCGAGATAAAACTTCCACTGAGCAGGCAAGCCCTGAACCCAACGTGGAGCCTCCTGAATCTGCTACCACAACAGCAACAACAACCACCACCAGCAGCAGCACCACAACCCCACAGCTGGTGCTGCAGTCAGGAAATCCTCATCCTATGAACCCAGAGAGCCAGAACAGAGTCTACGCCCTCCCTGACTCCTACAGAGGCATCAGTGGTGATGTCTGTGCAGGATATGGGAGCCTGTCTCGTTTTAGCCTCCACGGCTACATGCCCACCAAAAACTTCCAGCCCGGGGCTCACTACACCTTACCATTCATCAGGGACAGCTATGCCCCTGCGGGCCTCAGCAGCCAGACGGAGGAGGACAGTAAAAATCCTCTGGACATGAAGACTGACCTCCCAGCTGTCAGTTACCCAACTCTGGGGGGAATCCACCAGTTCAGGCCAATTACCACCATGGAGCTCCTCAGGGAGCCCTCGAGAACCAGGTAGGAGGACGTCACATCGGCCGAAATGTTACTGATCCCAGAGAGGGCAGTGTGCAGATGTTTAGGACCTTGGTGTTTCTGTGGAGAATAGATCTGGGTTCAGATATAGTTTAAAAGTGAAATGGAACAACTTAGAAACGGGTCAAATGTATCTCCAGCTGCTGTATATTATCCTCTGCAGGATATTTTTGTAAAATGCCTGAAGATCTTCTGACATCATGACAAAAAAAAAAAGAGAAATAGATTTTTCAATGTTCAATCGCCTAGACACCAGATTATGATTAATTAGAGGACAGTTTAAATTTCCTATTAAAAGCATGTAATCCTGTTTTATTAGGATCCCAAAATAAAATGATGAGCATAAAAAGGATTTTAATTGAAGATGTGCTTTAAAGAGGGTGAACCCCCCCCCAATAAAGAATAGCATGAATTCTGCACCCTGCACAACTAAACAATGTGTGGAGGACTTTCAGTGATGGTAACATGAATCAAACTCCACCCAGAGGAGGCGTCGGCTTTGTCCCGATGAGTCAGTGTGGACAATAACAAGACAGACGGACAGCAGTTAGGTCACACTTGATATCAATCAGGCGTGGCAGCCTGCTGCAAAGTTGATAAATAAGGAGGTTTCAAGTGTTATTGCCTGCCAGAAGCTTTTGCCTCAGCCCATCCAGAGTGATAGAGCGGTTTACAAATGGCCGTGGCGAAACTCTGTCCATGAGACGCAGAATTCCTCTGAACAAGCTTCATCCGACGTGTCAAATGGGAATCCTTCGCAGTTCTTGTTGTGATCTAAATGACAGGAACGATTCTGTCTCATATTTGTTTTTTCTGACTAATAGAGAAGAAAAGCAAGTAGGAAAAAGTGTTGAATGAAGTGTTCTGTTTAGATATTTCGGTCTACGTTTGCACCACTGTACTGAAATAAAATGGTGTATAAACATTTCCAAAGCAAAGAAAAATGTAATTTTGCTGCTGGAATCCTTGATATTTAAAATGTGACCCAGACAACAAACTAAAAGCTGGAAGGAATCAAAAGGGTTCAAAAGCAACCTGATTCCAATCTTTAGAAATGCGTGTGATGTGTTAGATCCTGATAATAATCTCTGGAAATAAAATATTAAATTAAGTGTTTTGACATATAGAAAGCTTTAAAACAGAAAAAGCTTGAGAAATAAGGTTAATGCAATAAATAAAAAAGAAATCATTAAAAAAAATGCTGTTTAACTTTTTGCTAATGTTTACTTAATTGCAGACAAAATGTCAAACTGAAAACAAGATAGTTAATTTTTCTTTTCTCAGGGTATATACAGCAATCCTTAAGTAAAATTTACTACTTTTTAATACTTTTCTTACTACCTTCAGAATTTTTTTAAAACCATCACAACACTAAATTGCAAGTGTTAATCAGCGACCTATTTACACATATTTTAACATATATAACATACAAAAAGAATAGACTTAGAGACTCACTGATGTTGACAACGTATTGCACATATTTATTTTACTTAGAAAATAAGCCAGGCACTTCTGTTCAGCGATCCAGACAGTTGGCCACGAGGCCTGAAATGATGCACAACGACCACTGAATATGACGTCATCATTATGTGACCGGATATGCTAAAGTAGGGCTGCTCGATTATGGCAAAAACAATAATCACGATTATTGTGACTGAAATTGAGATCTCGATTATTTAAGACGATTTTTCAATTTATGTAGATTTTTATTTTTTTATTTTTATTCAGTCATAAAACTGCTCAGGGCACAATCAGGGCAAAAATAAACAAGAAACAAGATGATCACTAAAATAACTCCTGATTTCCAGTATAAAAAGACCAATATACTTATAGCTCATAGTTTATGACCCAAGGGCTATAGACCTTGGTTTAACTCATTTAAGTCTAACCAGTGCAGACCCAAATACCAATATCTTGCAAATACTGACAGCAAGAATTATACAGTGGTATTTATAACAAATACATGCAAATTGCTGTTCACTAAATGTTGCATAGCATTTATTGAGTCATGTCAAGGTGCTGTAGGAGAGTGAACTAGCACCATGTCCTCAGAGAGATTAGTTATTATTTATCAGCGTGAGGAACTTATTTCTACCTTATTTATAAACTATTTATTTACAAGTCCATCAGTTAATGTAATAATTGCCCCAACCACAGCTGCACCCCCACCCCCAACCCGGTCTCACAGCAATCAGGGGCACACTGCACGTGTGTTTAGCGCGCCGCACGCGCACATTATCCGTTTTTATCGGCTCAGGAGTCCGCAGGTGCGGTGTGTGTGTCACTCACTCTGGTTAATCCAACAGAGAGCCGGCTCCGAGAGCTGTCTTTAGCGACTGACACATCACTACATCATTCCCTTTCCTAATGTCCTGAAGAACGGTCCGGAGCGCAGGCGGAGTGTTTAGCTAACCTGCAGGAAATGTCGACGACAGTTATCCAGAAAGTAGCTAAGGGTTACCAGAGATGTTTCTGAGGTGTTCGCCAGGTACTTTTACGATTTAAAAAGTCAAGAAGGGGGTCTGAGAAGCTGTTAGAAATAGCGTCAAAGTCGCTAAGTTAACTTGGCAACACTGGGAGGAGCGCTTCATTTGCAACTCAGGGCAGCGCAAGCGGGAGGAGCAAATAATCGGCTTGTTTTGTTTTTATAATCGTTCAAAACATTTCATTCGGAATATATTTCTATGTCGAAGTTCAGAATACGACATCTGATAGTCTGAAAAAAATAATACCTAATTTGGAAAAAATAATACCTCTGAGACCAAATTTAACACTTTTAATGGCCTTAAATTTGACTATTTTTATTTATCACTTTTTAATACTTTTTAAAACCCCGCGGACACCCTGTTTCTATCCAGTTCAGAGGTGTGACCAAGTCACTGCTTTGCAAGTCACAAGTAAGCCACGAGTCTTTCCAGTCAAGTCTCGAGTCAAGTCCAAGTCAAAGACAACCAAGTCTAAGTCGAGTCCAAAGTTAATGATGTGGAAGTCCAAGTCAAGTCCAAGTCATTAACCATGAATTTTCAAGTCATAATCAAGTCATCTGTCCGACTTCAATTTAATGACAATGATAATAAATAAATTCCAGAAATAAAGCTTCTTAAAGCTTTGTTTATTTGCTCAAACAAGCAGAAAGTGCAACTGAAACTGATTATAAACAAAGTGCTGATGCATTTAGCAGTACAAGATCAAACCCAGAACAAAGAAAGATTTATGATTTTTGTCCATGTCGTGCAACTTTTGTGCTAAAATATCAAATATGCTCAAGTCATCATCAAGTCAACAGATGCAAGTTTAGAATATTGTGAAAAGGTTAAATATTCTAAACGCAAAATGTCACACTCTAATCAGCTAATGAATCCTAAACACCTGCAAAGGGTTCCTGAGCCTTTAGATGGTCTCTCAGTCTAAGAAGAATTACTGAAATAGATGTACTTTAGTAGGAAATTCTCGTTTTTTGAGTTTCACCTGTAATACTTGTTCCTTTTGAAATACGATCGGTCACATGCATGCAGAACATAAAATTTCAACCCTCATTTCCTGGATTGGTTGCAGACAGGACAAGTTTGGGGAAACAGGGTTAGTAAAGGCTAATCTCTTCTGCATAACACTGTAAAATCAGCATTCATGGACTCACCCATCTTGGCTTGCGACTGTGGAAAGCTGTTGTTGATTTAGCTTCAAGAACAGAACAGCTAGTAGAAGCTAACTGTTAGCATTAGCAACTTTCAAAAATTGTGGAACACGTTTAGACTTGTGTTATTTGCTGAGATAAACTCCCATTAGTCATCATTACACACTGGTGAAATTATATCTCCGCATTTGAGCCATCCCTGTGGGGAGCGGTGAGCTGCAGCTGTGGCTGCGCTCAGGAACTATTTGGTGGTTTAACCCCCCAGACCAACCCCTTAAAGCTTAGCGTCAAGCAGGGAGGGATTGGGTCCCATTCTTAAGGTCTTTGATATGATCCAACAGGGATTTGAACCCCAATCTCCCAGTCCCAGGGCTGACACTCATAGGCCACTGAGGGAGTAAGACATCAACATTGCATTTAGTACTTAAGAAATAAAAAGCGGAAGCAGCGCAAGAGTCGTGTTGCCGTTAGCCAACCAGAGACAATGCATTTGCTTATCAGGAATATTAATGACTAAGACTCCAATTTCTGAACTTGAGCTTTGCTTAAAGTTCTGATGGTCCAATTGAAAACCCAGTAAGGCATTTTTAAAGGTAAAAATATTGCCTACCCTGTGAATTTGTGTCTCTCTAGAAGTGGATATGACGACGCCTTCATGGCCCAGCTGGAGGGGAACCTGAACCCTTTCTTCCAGGCCATGTGTCGAGCACAGACCCTGCAGATACCTCACAAACGCAGCAGCATGGTGAGCCTGGACAGCATCCGAAGAGACCCCCGCTGGAGGGACCCCAATCTTCAGGAGGTGATCGCGATGCTCAGGCACCCGATGGACCCGGTCAAGTCCAACGCCGCCGCTTATTTGCAGCACTTGTGCTATGAGAATGACCTAATCAAACAGGAAGTCCGTCAGTTGAACGGTGTGCCAATCTTGGTAGAGCTGTTGGATCATCCCAAGGCTGAAGTCCACCGCAAGGCTTGCGGTGCTTTGCGTAATATATCATATGGGAAAGACCACAATAACAAAATGACCATCAAGAATTGTGACGGCATCCAAGCTTTAGTCAGACTGCTGAGGAAGACCAGCAGCATGGAGGTCAAAGAGCTGGTCACAGGTACAACCGAACTTCCAATCCTTGGAGAGAATCTACAACTTGTGTCTGCAGCTTTTTCTTTTCTTCTGTACACACCGTAGGCACTCTGTGGAACCTCTCGTCACACGAGCCACTCAAACTGATAATCATCAACCAGGGACTTCAAACCCTGACTGACGAAATCATCATCCCACACTCAGGCTGGAGGAGGAGAGATTCAGCCGACTCCTCCAAACCACAGAGCGCTGAATGGACAACTGTCTTCAAGAACACTTCTGGATGCCTGAGGTAGGACGCTGTCACAGAATGGTAAAAGTATATGTATGAGTGGGTTTGCTTACAGATTTCTTTTTCTTCCTTCTGCAGGAATGTCAGCTCAGATGGAGCAGAGGCTCGACAGCGACTGAGGGAGTGTGAGGGGTTGGTGGCTGCTCTCCTTCACGCCCTGCAGTCAGCGGTCATCAACAAGGACACGGACATAAAGGTCGCTGAACATTTCAGTCTGAATCAAAAACTTCCCCTGCAGTATAGTTTTCAACAGTTGGGTTGTTATTTTTGTAAGTCTTTGCCTTTATCTGCTTGTATGTGACAGTTAACGCAGTAAAAGTTTGGCTATCAGTCTCCAAGGTCTAAAAAGTGTCCTCAGAGTTTTAGTTATGCCAACGAAAAATCAATAGACCTACTTTCATTTTCATAGAAAAAGGGAACCGGTGACTGGATCAATATGATGTGACACTTTCTGTACTGTACAACATCTTTTTATAAATTTTCTGTCACCGCTCTGGATGTAGTCGGTGGAGAACTGCGTGTGCATCCTTCGAAACCTGTCCTATCACGTCCACAAGGAAATCCCAGGAGCAGAGCACTTCCAGGAGCCTCACATTGGTCATCTGATGAGATCCGTGGGCCATCAGAAGAAGAAGAATGAACCTGAGTGTTGTGCAGGAAAAAGACCCAAAGGTTTGTAAACTCTGTGCAAGACATGCTGATTTGTTGTTATGTATTTATTGAGTTCCACAAGCCACTTTTATTTTTGCGTAAAAAAAAAAAAAAGCAAACTGTTATTTTCCAGGGTCACTGAACAGATCGTACGGTGGCTGAAGAGGACTTCTGTGATTCGTTTCTATGGCAACTAATTTAACAACTCTTTCAAGAGAAACTCTACTTTGAGAAATTTCTTTTGCACTTCAGTCTGGTCTGGCGTTAAAAGATAAACTGCTGTTTTTAAAAAAAATAAGATCGTGGCTATCTGGTTTAGGAGCTAATTTTCAGGTGGAGGCTTGAAAAAAGAGACAAAGGCAAAGCTAATTAACAATTAATAACCCTACAGAGGCTGTTAAAAACAACCTTTATCTCAATTTGTAGGTTTTTATTGGGCTTTGACTGCCTTCGCTTAGATTTTATCACTCCTGCCTTTATACCCTAGAGCAGTGTTTCCCAAACGTTGCAGCTTCAGACCTACAAAATGTGCCAAGTGTGTGAATGCCTGATGTTGGGACCCCGAGCCCAACTTTGGGAACCGCTGCCATAGAAAGTCTGATTCTGTCTTATAATGAAGCTGATTTTATATCTTGCCATTTTCCAAAGTCACAAACGTGTATTTTCATGTTGTTCGTCCTTTTATGCATCTTTTACATCACATAGATGATATATAGTGAGATGCAAAAGGGAAGCCTTGTTAATCTTCATGATTTTATATTGTTTTTGTGATAAACATTTTCAGTTAAATATATGGTATAGGAAACACACACAGGGATATTTGAGAAGTTAACTGAAGTTTATAGGATTTACAGAAAGTGTGCAATGATTGTTTAAACAAAATTAGGCGTCTGTTGTCATTTTATTGATTTCAAAACCTTTAGAACAAATTATTCGAACTTTATTGGTTTGGTAAACTCAGTGACCTTTGACCTCCATACACAGGTGAATCCAGTTATGAGAAAGAGTATTTAAGGGGGCCAATTGTAAGTTTTCCTACTCTTTGAATATTCTCTGAAGGGCAGCAACACGGGGGTCTAAGAACTACTCTCACATGCCCTGAAAACAGATTGTTCACCATCATGGTTTAGGGGAAGGATACAGAAAGCTGTCTCAGAGATTTCAGCGGTCTGTTTTCACAGTTAGGAACATATTGAGGAAATGGAAGACCACAGGCATGGTTCTAGTTGAGGCTCAAAGTGGCAGAACAAGAAAAATCTCCGATAAACAGAAGTGAAGAATGTTGAGAACAGTCAGAGTCAACCCACAGAGCAGCACCAAAGACCTACAACATCAACCAGCTGCAGATGGAGTCACTGTGCATCGTTCAGTTATTCAGTGCACTTTCTACAAGGAGATGCTGTATGTGAGAGTGATGCAGAGGAAGCATTTTCTCCACCCACAGCACAAACAGAGCTGCTTGAGGTATACTAAAGCACATTTGGACAAACCAGCCTTATTCTGGAATACAGTGCTGTGGACGGATGAAACTAAAACCGAGTTATTTGGGGCATAACAAGGGGGTTATGCATGGAGATAAAAGAAAACACCTACTGTAGGTATACCTACAGTAAAGCATGGTGGTGGTTCCATCGTACTGTGGGCTGTATGGCCAGTGCAGGGACTGGGAATCATGTTAAAGTTGAGGGACGCATGGATTCCACTCAATATCAGCAGATTCTGGAGACCAATGTCCAAGAATCAGTGACAAAGCTGAAGTTGCACCGTGGCTGGATCTTTCAACAAGACGACGGCTCAACATCTACTAAGGCATTCATGCAGAGGAACAAATAGAACGTTCTGGAATGGCCATGTCAGTCCCCAGACCCGAATATTACTGAAATTCTGTGATGTGAGTTACAGAGAGCTGTCAATGCTCAGAAGTCATCAAACCTGAATGAACCAGAGATGTTTTGTAAAGAAGAATGGTCCAAAACACCTTCAACCAGAATCCAGACTGTCATTGGAAGCTTCATGAAGAGTTTAGAGGCAGTTCCTGCAAAAGGAGGATTTACTAAATATTGAGCTAATTTATTTTTGTGGTGCCCAAATTTATACACTCGCCTAATTTTGTTAAAACAATTATTGCACACTTTCTGTAAATCCTATAAACTTCGTTTCACTTCTCAAATGTGTGTCTCCTACATGAAATATTTAACTGAAATGTTTATCTTAGCAACCAACAATAATATAAAGGAAAATAACGAAGATTAACAAGGTTGCCCAAAACTTCACATCCCACTGTATAAACAAGAAGACAGAATCCTTTCAGCAAAGATGCAGAACATGTTGGTGGGTAGCTCAGAGTGTCGCCACATGGAGGAGCTCTCCCTGTTTCCGTTATATCCTTTTGCAGCAAAATGTAATCTCTGACATGGTTCCTTCTTGTTCTTCTTTTATCCCCCTTTAAATACTGCGTCCATCAGAAGAGTGGTTCAGCCAAGGTCAGTGTGCTTGTTTACACCTCGGAACAATTTCAAAGCAGCAATGATGTGATTTCTCATACCGCCATGAAACTGATGATAAACTGAAAACTGTTGTTTGTGTTTGCTTGCATGTGTGTGTGTCTGTGATGTGCAGGTTGGAAAAAGGGATTTTTGGACAGAAAATACAGTACATTGGATTTACCAAAACGTACAGAACTAATGAAAGGTATATTGTATATAGGAAAATGTAACACTACACCATAAATTCATTATTAAGACTCCAGGAAGCAAGAAAATTGCTATATTTTTTATAACACATTAAAATGATTTATGAACATAGTCATGCTAGAACGCATAACTCCTCTGTGCTGTGATACTTGCTGTATGACATTGATGTGGCCTGAACGAGAAAGCCATTAAAATGCAGCACCACACATCAGCATCTGCAGCACTTGTGGAGATTTTCATCACCAAAATAAAATCCAACATTTGGTACCATTTATTCAAGCACCATCTTAAAATTTTACATTTGCATGCTTCACACACTACCCACACCTTTATCAGCTACTCAGTCTTTGCATTTTATTATTTTAGTTCCCATAAAAATGATATGAGTAAAGAAAAAAGTAGTACTGCAGGCCTGTGGCTCAGACTGCCACTAGAATGGAGATCAGAGCTTTAGCTAATGCCTCCCACGCTGCAGCCAGTGAATGCAAATCAGAATGACAATCACGTTACGGTTCAGGGTCAGCCTCATTCTGTAAGACTTTTCAGCCATGCAGGCTCCACTGGATCAATGCAACAAAGATCCCTCCTGGAGTTTTCCTCCTATGCAGCCTCAGCTCAGTGTAATTAATCCACTTTAGACACATATCAATCAATCAATCATCAATCAATCAATCAATCAATCAATCAATCAATCAATCAATCAATCAATCAATCAAACTTTATTTTGTGTAGAACTTTTCATATACAAAAAATACAGCTCAAAGTGCTTTACAGGTTAAAACCACCCCATGTAACCCATAATCCCATAATTTCCCCAAAAATATAAAAATAATTACTGTACCCCCCCCCCCCCAAAAAAAAAAATCCCACAACCCATTTCCTAAGGAACACACACACACACACACACACACACACACACACACACACACACACACACACACACACACACACACACACACACACACACACACACACACACACACACAACTTAAAGAGTGAGTCACCCCCAAATCAACTTTTTTTTTTTGCTGATAAACTATATAAATGTGTGTCTAATTGTGCTGCTGACATGTGTGGTCAATAATTTGGTACTTCAGTGCATTTTAGTTAAAATTTAAATATTGTGCCTAAAACTGTCAGTGTTGCTCCGTCGTTGGGTAAAAACTGTACTGCATTGGAATTTAAATCTGCCACCGCTATTGGCTAAGAGGTATGTTATGATGTAAACTGGTACATTATGATGTCCAAATGCCGTTGTGAGCCTGTGTGTGTGTGTATTTGTTAGCGGCTCCGCCCTCTCGGTCTGCTAGGCAACAGCATTTGTTGCATTTTTCAAACATGAAGATGGAGTGAAGTAAGTTTCTTGTAGTGGGTGACTTGCTCTTTAAAAAAAATTAAATGTCATAAGTAAACACTAGGCCAAGTTCAGATGAGTTGGGTAACGAATGACACGCCATCAGGTGAGCCCTCTGCCTCGGTAGTAGTCGATTGACGGCAGCAGCAAAGGCATCAGCCCAAGGCTCTCAGGGAGATAGGGCGAAAACCCCGACCACCGCCTGAGCACTCCTCGAGGTGTTTATATGCATGTGTAGCCTCTAACCCACCAGCCTGCTATCTCAAACTGACCCAATTAGAAGAAAAACCCAGCCCATGTTAGCATTTTAAACAAACTAGGTAAATAGATGGCTTGAGAAAATGCAGGTTAATTAAGATTTCAGATGAACAAATGTTTTTGTTTCTGTTCAAGGCCTGGAGCTGCTGTACCAGCCAGAGGTAGTGAGGCTCTACCTCTCTCTTCTCACCTGCAGTCACAACCACAACACCCTGGAGGCAGCAGCAGGAGCTCTACAGAACCTCGCAGCGGGACACTGGGCTGTGAGTAGATCAAAAAGTTCAAAATTATTCATCAAGCTCATAATTATAGAGGCTGTAAGAGAATAAGTAAAACTCTGAATCCGTGTTCAGGGAGTGTTACATAAAGCTGACTTCCTTTGAATGCTAATTTTAGGTGAGGTCACTGTTTTCACAGTTTGTAAACGTCGCTGCGCTGTGTGTTTGTGGAACAGATCGAGGATGTGCATCCTGACAGCTCCGTCTCTGGCGTTCAGCTTAAGGAGAGACCCAAAATAGATTTGTGCAGCATTATGAGTGAGTTCAGAGTAAATATGTCTGCACAGAGCAGGGTCGAACAAGACGATTTCTACGGGCCCATACCCGAGGGGGCATATGTGCCAACGGCTTTCCATCTCAGCTGGTTGGTTTTGTTTTCTTTTGAGGCAGTCTTTAATCAGCTCTATGTAAATGCACGCTGACCTTGTCTTCGACCTTCATGGTCAAGAAAAACTTTAACTTGTATTGAATTTCCGCCTGAGTGGCTCCATATGTCTACTAAATATTGTGCTCAGTCAAAAAACAATCACTTTAGTTTAAGGTGACGGATGTTAATCATAAGAAAACTTCCAAAGGCCTTCAATCTGTTTCACAAACAACTGTATAAGGCAGTGTAAAGGCTTTGTAAATAATAGTTTTTGAATACTGGTAGCAGGATTTTTGAATGTCAGGATCTGTTTTGTGTTTCCATTGGCAGTGGTCCAGTTACATTCGAGCCACAGTGAGAAAAGAGAAAGGGTTGCCAATTTTAGTGGAGCTTCTGCGCTCAGATGCAGATAAAGTTGTGCGAGCTGTGGCCATCGCTCTTCGCAACCTGGCTATTGACAGAAGGAATAAAGACCTGATTGGTACAGAGCTCCGATTCTTAACTACTAACAGTGATGTGCAAAAGTCTTCTTACAGATTTCTCCAGTTCTGGCTTTATTTTTTACATTTTAATGTTTCAGATCAGCAAAATAAATAAATAAATAAATAATTCAACATCAAAGACAACCAGAGTAAAAGAGTTTCCAAATGATTTGATGTCTTAAAAAGAAAGTTCACCGAGAAACCGTTTTGACTTGTTTTTTTTTAAAGTATGATCGTCACTCTGAGTTTAATATTCAATTCAATTCAAATTCATTTATATAGCGCCAAATCACGACAAGAGTCGTCTCAAGGCACTTCACACAGTAAACATTGCAATACAGGTCAGTTCATTAAGCCAGTCAGGAAAAGCTTCCTGTATCAGGAACCCAGCAAATTGACTAGTGTCAGTGACTTTACAGCAATCCTCATACTAAGCAAGCATGTAGCGACTGTGGAGAGGAAAACTCCCTTTTGAAAGGAAGAAACCTCCAGAAGATCCTGGCTCAGTATAAGCAGCCATCCACCACGACTCACTGGGGATCAAGAAGACAGATCAGACACACACACGCATGCACGCACGCACGCACACACATACACACACACACACACATTGTGATTTCTTAGTAAATATTCTATTTAGTGAGAGATCAACTTTATTGTATTTATATGCAGGCTAAACGTGAACATAGTCTTCTACCCCTATTTCCTGCATCAGCCACCAATAGAAAAATGCTCGGATTAGAAAAGCCAGTCAGCTCTAGATCGCACAGAAAATTAGCATTCATATACTCACTGATCTTGGCTCTCGGCGGGGAAGTTAGTTGTTGATTTAGCATCCAGGAAACAGCAGAGAATGTCTCGGCTAGTGGAAGCTAACTGTTAGCATGAGCAACTCCACAAAATGGCAGAACTCCTTGGGGTTTGTGTTATTTGTGGAAATAAAACGTCAACATCGGATGTGAGGGAATGCACAGCTTCAAATGACTTTTTATCAGTCCAAATATTTCCCCCCAAAAGCCTGGGTGATCGTCAAGGTGTTTTTAGGGAAAATGTAAGGTGAGAATTTCTGTTTGTTTTGGTTCTGCTGAGGTTATTGGTTTTGGAACCTTCCCATGGACGTGAGGTCTTTGTCTTAGTGTTGAACCATAACCAAGCGGTGTTCTGACTTATTTTGTTCTTGATTATCTTTTAAACATGTCTTGCTTATTTAGATTTTTTAGCCTACTCAGGTTCTATTGAAGTGACCTTTTATTCTACAGATCTGGCAGTAATGTCAACATCCAGCTTGTGAAATTGAGCTCAGCTTTTCAAACATTGTGGTGAATCACGGTTAATTTATGATTAAACAAGGAATTGGATTAAAGTGCCTTTTGTGTTCACTCAGCCACTTACTGATGACATTTGTTTGCTGATCTGAGACATTTCAGTGTTACAGTTAAAAAGCAAAAACTAAAGAAAGCTAATGAGATGAATACTTTACAAAAACACAGATGTTTAAAATTAACTCCACGCCATCTGTCGTTGCAGGGAGCTACGCTCTAAGGGACCTTGTTGCTAATCTGCCTTGTGGGCAGCAGCATCCAGTAAAGAATCTTGAGGGAGACACAGTGGTTTCTATTCTGAACACAATCTACGAGATCATCACAGATAACCAGGAGAACACTCGAATGCTCATTCAGGGTCATGCTGTGCAGAAACTTGTAGCCATCAATAAGTCAAGGTACAAATACGCCTTTTAAAATATAATCTTGGTAGGGGTGTGTATTGGCAAGAATCTGACTGTACAATATATATCACAATACAGGGGATACAATACGGTACACTACGATGCTAAAGGCAGATCTTATTTGCAAATTGTGAGACATAGTTCAAAGGTGCATTATGTAAGAATGAAGTAAGAATGGTATCTTGTGGTCAAATTTGGTTACTGCAGCCCATTTAGAAAACACATGGGGAGACTTTCTCACCACTGTTTTCTGAGTTTCATGGCTGTTGCCACCTATGGCTCAACACTAGAAGATTCTAGATGAGTGAAGTTGAGTCATACACAGTGAGTTGAAAGGTAGATAAATACATTTCTCTGTAATATCAAATTGTTGGTAACTGAAAAAGTTGCTTGAGATATTTAAAGCCAACTATTTGTTTCTAATTCAACATTTGCATGTTAGCTCAACATTAGCTTGTAGCCTTTTTTTAACCTGATTTTAGAGTAAAGCAAAAAGATGCCGTGACTTCTCGGGATTACAAAATATAACTTCTGGGTCGCTCCTGATACTGGCTTAGGATCTTTAAAAGACATCGCTGTGTTTTGCTGGGCGGTGCCAATTTATAAATGTTGGCGCAGCAGCGTTAGCTGGAGCAGACTTGACAACCCCATGGCCGGACAAATTGTAAAAAAAACTAACCCCAAAATCTCCGCTCCGCCCCCACTTTCCGCTGCCGCTCGCTTCCGAACTCAAATTTTACTACACAACAGTGTATATTACAGACACACACACATATATATATATATATATATGTCTGATATATATATATATATATGTCTGATATATATATATATATATATATATATATATATATATATATATATATATATATATATATATATATATATATATATATGCTTGTTGAACAGAAATCTTCATTAAAACGTTTAAATGTTCGTTTTTAAAAACGTTAAAATCATCATTAAAACGTTTAAATCTTCATTGCACCGTTTAAATGTTCGTTTTTAAAAACGTTGAAATCATCATTTAAACATTAAAATCTTCATTAAAACGTTAAAATCATCATTAAAATGTTTAAATGTTCATCAAAACGTTAAATTCTTTACTAAAACATTCAAATGTTCATTTTTAAAAACGTTAAAAGGTTCGTTAAAATGTTAAAATTTTCATTAAAACGTTAAAATGTTCATTAAAATGTTAAAGTCCTTATTAAAACGTTAAACTGTTCATTTAAACATTAAAATGTTCATTAAAACAATAAAATGTCCATTTTTAAAAATGTTAAAATGTTCATTAAAACGTTTAAAGGTTCATTAAAACGTTGAAATGTTAATTAAAACATTTAAATGTTTACTAAAACATTAAAATCTTGATTTTTAAAAACGTTAAAATATTCATTAAAATGTTTAAACGTTCATTAAAACGTTTAAATGTTCAATAAAATGTTTAAATGTTCATTAAAATGTTAAAATCTTCATAAAAATGTTAAAATCTTCATTTTTAAAAACATTAAAAAGGTTCATTAAAACGTTTAAATGTTCATTAAAACGTTTAAATGTTCATTAAAATGTTTAAATGTTCATTAAAACATTAAAATCTTCATAAAAACGTTAAAATCTTCATTTTTAAAAACGTTAAAAAGGTTCATTAAATGTTAAAATGTTCATTAAAACGTTTAAATGTTCATTAAAACGTTAAAATGTTCATTAAAACGTTAAAATCATCATTAAAATGATTAAATGTTCAATTAAAACGTTAAATTCTTCATTAAAATGGTTAAATGTTCATTTTTTTAAACGTTAAAATGTTCATTAAAACATTAAAATGTTCATTAAAACGTTAAAATGTTCATTAAAACGTTAAAATCTTCATTAAAATGTTTAAATATTCATTTTTAAAAACGTTAAAATGTTCATTAAAATGTTTAAATGTTCAGTAAAACGTTAAATTCTTCATTAAAACTTTTAAATGTTCATTTTTAAAAACGTTCAAATGTTCATTAAAATGCTTAAATGTTCATTAAAACATTAAATTCTTCATTACAATGTTTAAATGTTCATTTTTAAAAACATTTAAAGGTTCATTAAAAAGTTAAAATGTTCATTTTTTGAAAAAAGCAGTCTCCTTCTGATATCATGTAGAAACAAGCAGTCTCTTTCTGACATCATAAAGAAACAAGCAGTCTCCTTCTGACATCATAAAGAAACAAGCAGTCCCCTTCTGACATCATAAAGAAACAAGCAGTCTCCTTCTGACATCATAAAGAAACAAGCAGTCTCCTACTGATATCATAAAGAAACAAGCAGTCTCCTTCTGATATCATGTAAAAACAAGCAGTCTCTTTCTGATATGTAGAAACAAGCAGTCTCCTTCTGACATCATAAAGAAACAAGCAGTCTGCCTCTGACATCATAAAGAAACAAGCAGTCTGCCTCTGACATAATAAAGGAACAAGCAGTATCTTTCTGACATCATAAAGAAACAAGCAGTCTCCTTCTGATATCATGTAGAAACAAGATATATATGTCTGATATATATCAGAATATATATATATATATATGCTTTATATGCTTGTTGAATATAAATCTTCATTAAAACGTTTAAATGTTCGTTTTTAAAAACGTTAAAATCTTCATTAAAATTTTAAAATGTTCATTGAAACGTTAAAATCTTCATTAAAATGTTTAAATGTTCATTTTTAAGAACGTTAAAATCATCATTTAATTGATTAAATGTTCATTAAAACGTTAAATTCTTCATTAAAACGGTTAAATGTTCATTTTTTTAAACGTTAAAATGTTCATTAAAACATTAAAATGTTCATTAAAACGTTAAAATGTTCATTGAAACGTTAAAATATTCATTAAAATGTTTAAATATTCATTTTTAAAAACGTTAAAATGTTCATTAAAATGCTTAAATATTTATTAAAACATTAAATTCTTCATTAAAACATTTAAATGTTCATTTTAAAAAACGTTTAAAGGTTCATTAAAACATTACATTTTCATTACAATGTTTAAATGTTCATTTTTAAAAACGTTTAAAGGTTCATTAAAAAGTTAAAATGTTCATTTTTTTGAAAAAAGCAGTCTCCTTCTGATATCATAAAGAAACAAGCAGTCTCCTTCTGATATCATAAAGAAACAAGCAGTCTCCTTCTGACATCATAAAGAAACAAGCAGTCTCCTTCTGACATCATAAAGAAACAAGCAGTCTCCTTCTGATATCATAAAGAAACAAGCAGTCTCCTTCTGATATGATGTAGAAACAAGCAGTCTCTTTCTGATATCATGTAGACACAAGATATATATATATATATATATATATATATATATATATATATATATATATATATATATATATATATGCTTGTTGAACAGAAATCTTCATTAAAACGTTTAAATGTTCGTTTTTAAAAACGTTAAAATCATAATTAAAACGTTTAAATCTTCATTGCACCGTTGAAATGTTCGTTTTTAAAAATGTTGAAATCATAATTAAAACATTAAAATCTTCATTAAAACGTTAAAATCATCATTAAAATGTTTAAATGTTCATCAAAACGTTAAATTCTTTATTAAAACATTTAAATGTTCATTTTTAAAACCGTTAAAAGGTTCATTAAAATGTTAAAATTTTCATTAAAACGTTAAAATGTGCATTAAAATGTTAAAATCTTCATTAAAACGTTAAAATGTTCATTTAAACGTTAAAATGTTCATTAAAACAATAAAATGTCCATTTTTAAAAATGTTAAAATGTTCATTAAAACGTTTAAAGGTTCATTAAAACGTTGAAATGTTAATTAAAACGTTAAAATGTTTACTAAAACGTTAAAATCTTGATTTTTAAAAATGTTAAAATATTCATTAAAATGTTTAAACGTTCATTAAAACGTTTAAATGTTCATTAAAATGTTTAAATGTTCATTAAAATGTTAAAATCTTCATAAAAACGTTAAAATCTTCATTTTTAAAAACGTTAAAAAGGTTCATTAAAACATTAAAATGTTCATTAAAACGTTTAAATGTTCATTAAAATGTTTAAATGTTCATTAAAATGTTAAAATCTTCATAAAAACGTTAAAATCTTCATTTTTAAAAACGTTAAAAAGGTTCATTAAAACATTAAAATGTTCATTAAAACGTTTAAATGTTCATTAAAAATGTTAAAATGTTCATTAAAACGTTTAAAGGTTCATTAAAACGTTGAAATGTTAATTAAAACATTTAAATGTTTACTAAAACATTAAAATCTTGATTTTTAAAAACGTTAAAATATTCATTAAAATGTTTAAACGTTCATTAAAATGTTTAAATGTTCATTAAAATGTTTAAATGTTCATTAAAATGTTAAAATCTTCATAAAAACGTTAAAATCTTCATTTTTAAAAACATTAAAAAGGTTCATTAAAACGTTTAAATGTTCATTAAAATGTTTAAATGTTCATTAAAATGTTTAAATGTTCATTAAAACATTAAAATCTTCATAAAAACGTTAAAATCTTCATTTTTAAAAACGTTAAAAAGGTTCATTAAATGTTAAAATGTTCATTAAAACGTTTAAATGTTCATTAAAACGTTAAAATGTTCATTAAAACGTTAAAATCATCATTAAAATGATTAAATGTTCAATTAAAACGTTAAATTCTTCATTAAAACGGTTAAATGTTCATTTTTTTAAACGTTAAAATGTTCATTAAAACATTAAAATGTTCATTAAAACGTTAAAATGTTCATTAAAACGTTAAAATCTTCATTAAAATGTTTAAATATTCATTTTTAAAAACGTTAAAATGTTCATTAAAATGTTTAAATGTTCAGTAAAACGTTAAATTCTTCATTAAAACTTTTAAATGTTCATTTTTAAAAACGTTCAAATGTTCATTAAAATGCTTAAATGTTCATTAAAACATTAAATTCTTCAATACAATGTTTAAATGTTCATTTTTAAAAACATTTAAAGGTTCATTAAAAAGTTAAAATGTTCA